ACAGCTGTGAATACAGCTGAAAGTAGATAATGAATCATTGAGATAATTAATCGATCAATGAACAGTGAGTTCGAAAAATCTATCAATACGCCTTGATAGAGTTCCTGTAGTGATGAATTTTAGAATGGTTGCTTTATATGTTGCATCTAAATTAGATTAGCTGTTTGATGAAAATATTTCTTTGTTGATTCAAAAATGACTCAGAAACATTTTCAAGTGTTGTAGAAGTTAGACTCCACAAGGCGAGAGCAAATTATTATGGTTATTTAGAGCGATTATTCGTCTTCGATTCGAAACTCGTTTTCTCGATTCTCTCGATTCGTGCTTCGCACCGCATTTCGTATTCGAGTCGAAACTCGAATACCATCTAGTTTTTTTTCTTTCTTTCTTTTATACTATACGTACGCATCAAAAATTGTCATTTTGTGGCTCTATGATCTCATGAACAAAAAGTCGTAAAATAGTCGTTCAAACGGGAGCTTGAAGAGTCGAGATCGAATTCGTACCATTTTTAGCCGAATCATCTATAGAATCCATAGTTCGTCTACAATCGAAGCTCCAAAAACATAATTTTGACGGAGTTTCCTTTAGAGATAATTAAAACGAAAATTCAAAAAAAAAGTTAGGCGCCAATTTGTTCAGTCATATATCAAACAGCTGTAAATACAGCTGATAGTAGATAATGAATCACTGACATAATGACATAATTAATTGATCAATACAAAACAATTTGTAGAAATCGGTCGATACGCTTTCATAGAGTTTCTGAAGTGATGAATTTCATAATGGACGCGTTCATTTCAGATCTAGATGAGATCAGCTGTTTGATAAAGATGTTTGTTTAAACATCCTTGGTTATCTTAGAACCTTTTACGTAGATTGTGAGAACTAACTCCGATGATATGTAGAAAAATTATTCGATTTCGATTCGAAATTCGTTATTCCGATTCTCAGCACGTGTGCTTCGCACCGCATTTCGTATTCGAGTCGAAACTCGAATACCATCTAGTTATTAATGCGGTGCGAAGCACTGCATTTATTGCGAAGCACTGCATTTATGTAGTCCTTCGCGAGTTTTTTTTTTTTTTTTTTTTCTTTTATACTATACGTACGCATCAAAAATTGTCATTTTGTGGCTCGATGATCTCGAGAACGGAAAGTCAGAAAATATTCGTTTAAACGCGAGACCCGAGTATCGAGATCGAATTCGTACCATTTTTAGGCGAATCATCTATAGAAGCAATAGTTCGTCTATAATCGAAACTCCAAAAACACAATTTTGATGGAGTTTACTTTAGAGATAATTAAAACGAAAATTCAGAAAAGAAGTTAAGCGCCAATTTGTTCAGTCATATATCAAACAGCTGTGAATACAGCTGATAGTAGATAATGAATCACTGACATAATTAATTGATCAATACAAAACAATTTGTAGAAATCGGTCGATACGCTTTCATAGAGTTTCTGAAGTGATGAATTTCATAATGGACGCGTTTCATTTCAGATCTAGATGAGATCAGCTGTTTGATAAAGATGTTTGATTAAAACATCCTTGGTTACCTTAGAACCTTTTACGTAGATTGTGAGAACTAACTCCGATGATGTGTAGAGGAATTATTCGATTTCGATTCGAAATTCGTTATTCCGATTCTCGGCGCGTGTGCTTCGCACCGCATTTCGTATTCGAGTCGGAACTCGAATACCATCTAGTTTTACTTTCTCGACGTACGCATAACAGTTGTCATTTTCTGTTCGAATGATCTCGAGAACGGAGAGTCAGAAAATATTGGTTCAAACGCGAGGCCCGAGTATCGAGATTGAACTAATACCATTTTTAGTCGAACCGTCTATAGAACCAATAGTTCGTCTACAATCGGAGCTCCAAAAACGCAATTTTGACAGAGTTTATCTTTGAGATAATTAAAACGAAAATTCAAAAACAATGTTAGGCGCCAATTTCTTTAGTCATATATCAAACAGCTGTGAATACAGCTGATTATAGATAATGAATCATTGGGATAATTAATCGATCAATAAACAGCGAGTTCGAAAAATCTGTCAATACACTTTGATAGAGTTCCTGTAGTGATGAATTTTAGAATAGCTGCTTTTTATGTTGCATCTAAATTAGATCAGCTGTTTGATGAAAATATTTCTTTGTTGATTCAAAAATGAGTCAGAAACATTTTCAATTGTCGTAGAAGTTAGACTGTACAAGACGAGAGCGAATTGCGATGGTTATTTAGAGCGATTATTCGTATTCGATTCGAAACTCGTTTTCTCGATTCTCTCGATTCGTGCTTCGCACCGCATTTCGTATTCGAGTCGAAACTCGAATACCATCTAGTTTTTCTTCTTTACTTGACGCTTGACGTACGCATCAAAAGTGGCCATTTTGTGTCGCGATGATCTCGAGAACGGAAAATCAGAAAAAAAAAGTTTAAACGTGAGATGAAAGTATCAAGATCAAATCGTTGAAATTCGTTTTTCTGTTTTCACTAGAATGAATCGTTGAATTACAAATAATTTAGGAAAAAGACGAATTTGAAAGATTTTATATTCGAGATAATTAAAATGCAAAAGAAAAAGAAGAGTTAGGCGCCACTCTCTTTCTTCATATGCGAGACAGCTGTGAATACAGCTGATTATACATAATGAATCACTTAGATAATTAAACTATCAATCAGCAGCCTTCTTTAGAAACATGTTGATACGCTTTTATAGGGTTATCGTAGTGATGAAATTCATTATGGCTGCTTTTCAACTTGTTTTCGATTCAAATCATCTGATTGAGGGAAAAGTAAATTTTCAATTTGGAACGACCCAGAGAAGCGTCTATACTCGCCAGTACGTAAACAACTTTACGAGAAAGAACGATCGCCATTGATCCGACAATCGATTTTTCGTTTTTTTACGAAACATCGTTTTATTTCCAGAACTCGAGATTCGTGCTTCGCACCGCATTTCGTATTCGAGTCGAAACTCGAATACCATCTAGTTATAATAAGCATCGCCGTATACAAAACGTGTATTTGCAATTTAAAAAGAAATTATATTTCTATTAGGAAGCATTCCATCACTTAAACACGTGTAGTAATCTACATCTATAAAGCTATCGTTATAAAAACTAGTTTGCATGAGAAATATCTTAAAATTATGGTCTGACAAGATCCTACAATATCTTACAAGACTCCCATCCTCCGATCTTGCAAGAATCTTATATCAAGAATCATATAAGATTGACGCTAGCATCTTATAATAAGAATCATATTAAATCTTAGAACAAGAAATTTGCAAGATTTCGTAAGATCATACAATCTGAATCTTACAAAATCTAATTGTCAGTAAGATCGTATAAGATCTTATATGATCCTCGTACGATTTTTGCACCTGGGTGGCTATAGAAAGCCATGTAGAACATGTTCATACACAATGAGTTTTATTATAATTTATATTTTTGAAAAAAAATTGTCTTGTAAAGTTTTTTTTTTCCATCAGATGCTTATAAATATCACTGGCCAAGAAATAAAGATGTCACAAAAATCAAGTACGACAATTCACGTATCTTAATCTGATCCATCTATTTGAATAATAGTTTTAGCTGGAGAGCTGAAACTTGTAAAATTATAGATCTTGATTAGACATATATTATCTGATGAAAATTTCAGCCTTCTACGTCAAGTAAAAGGATGAAAAATATCGTCGACAATTTCTCCTTAATTATTATCGGACAACCTTTATTCGTGTGTTTTTTTAGTAGATGTGCTCATTTTAAATGAGTGAGCTATTAATAATGATAAACAAGTTTGATTGTTAATTGCTTCAGTTACCTACAGACTTTGCAGTAGTTGATTAAACAAGAAAAAAAAAGATAAAATATCTCGTACGTATTTTGATCGAATAGGCTGATGTGTTTATTAATGATAATGCACAAGTCTTAGCTTAGATTCATCAGAAGAATGTTAACGAATGCTCCTATGAAGTAACATAACTGTCTACTAATATTCCACAATTGATGAAAAAGTACAACATACCGTGATACTCAATATTAATCTTAAATCTAGTATAAAAATATAAACAGATTTTGCCATGAAATACTGCATATTTTGATTTCTAACAGAAAAAAACATGTTTCGAATATTTTTTAATTATAAAAGCGAGTAAAACTGTGCTGAAACCTTGTTCAAAACGCTTTACTAGTTTGAAATGGCAAAATATGCAGTATTTCACTGTAAAATTTACATTTATTTTTATATGAAGTGTACGATCAATTTTGAGCATCACTATGTGTATTCTAATTACCGAAAATACAGAGTACACTTCTGACTTTCTCAATAATTCTTCATATTATTAATTAATTCATACAAAAGATATATATCTTACTTTTTAATATACTCTGAAAGTTCAAGCGATGCAAACCAAAAATTTGTCGTCTATTAGATGCACTTACCTGATTCGAATTAATCTCTATCGTGATGTCTGTCTTACTATATTTTCTGGTTCGATTTCAATCTCTGAATATGTGTTCGATGCTTAAAATCTTCTCTTCTATAAACTAGGGTGTGGGTGTGTAGGTGACTGTGGATTTGCGTATCGATTAAAGAAGAACTGCACTCACACCCACACCCACATCCTGCTTTAGAACAACATGGTCATCATACATGTCAGGATGTCGTACTTGAGGATGGTAATTGCAAATCTTTTCTGAAAAAATATGATTATGTTCATATATTTCAGATATTGATTCACCAATTTCACCACGTGCTGTTATAATAAAAAAGAATAAATCAGTGACAGATGAATATAAACTTTTGGAATTTCTTGGACGGTAATTTAAAATTTTTCTTTCTTTATTTTTTAATTTAATGATTAAGTTTAGATGAAAATTTCGTGAAATAAAAAAATGTCGTGAAAAATCAACAAAACATTTCTTAGCTACCAAATTTATACAAATACATAAAGAATCAGATCGTATTAAAGCATTTAATAGAATTGAAATAATGAAAGCATTTCAACATCGAAGATTTTTACAACTTTATGATGTATTGAAAACAAAAGAAGACATTTGTCTTATTATGGAATTGTAAATATTTCATTTTATGTTTTTGTAAAAAGAAAAATTTTCTTTCTTTCTTTAATATTTTAGAATTATTGGTGAAAAATTATTTGAACGTGTTATTAATGATGAATTTATATTAACAGAACGTCTTTGTGAATTATATATGATACAAATCTATGAAGGAGTGAATTTTATGCATTCATGTAATGTTGTTCATCTTGATATGAAGGTTTTTAATTCTATTTATTTAAATTAAAAAATTTTGTTTTTGGTTTTTTCTTAACCGGAGAATATTTTAGGTGTAAATCGTAATGGTCATCGAATAAAAATAATTGATTTTGATCTTGCATGAAAATGTGATTCAACTAAACAACTTAAAATATTTTTTGGTACATCAGAATTTGTTGCATTAGAACTTATTAGTTTTTATTGAATTGGTTTTGATACTGATATGTGGTGAGTTTTAAAATAAAGAAAATCTTTCGATTTTATTTTTTCTTTAGGTCTATCGTAGTGATTTATTATGTTTTGTAAATAATTAAATAAAAGAAAATTGAAAGAAAAGAAATTCTTTTTTTTTTAGATTATCCAGTTTGAGTCCATGTATGGATGAAAATGATAATGGTACATATACAAATACAAAACGAGTTAATTATGATTTTGAAGATAAAGCATTTACGGATATATATCAGGTGCAGAGAAACATTTTATTCCAAAATTATTTCTCAAAAATAAAGAGTACAGTTTTTATGAAAAAATGTTTTTAGGATATTAAAATGTTTTTTTTTACTGTATAGTAAATGTCTTCAAGCTAAAGAATATTTTGCTCATCCATGGTTAACTCGTCGACTAAAAATAGTATCAACTCCAAATGATGAAGAAACAACTAAAAAGATATTATCAACAAAAAAAATTACGTTGATTTGTCATACAACGATATTGACAGGTAAAGTTATTCAAATATTTAATTTCATTATTTAGATGATTTTTTTTTAAAAGCGGTCAATGCTAATAAAACAGAGTGTGTGGATGTGGGTGTGGGTAGGCGTGCAGCGAGCCCGAATTCGGGTTCGAAGTGCGGATTGAACGATTCGGGGTTCGAGTTCGATCTCAGGGTACGAAATCAGGGTTCGGGTTGGGATTCCTATATTACAAGGTAGAGCTAATAGTAATACATGATAAAGAGCAAACTTTTCCATCCTAATTGTCTTCCAGACAATCCAGTTACAATATGATGGAAAGAAACAAGAGAGATTGTTAATCAAGATTAAGTGCTTCTTGATCATTTGCATATCATGCAAGAACTGTAAGTATGTACTGTGTAATTGTATTATCCAGTAAAAATACTTTTCTTCATATCGATATATTTATTGAATGATCAGAAAAGCATGTTAACTTCTGTATATAAGATAAACGAAGTATTCTTTGTTTTCAATATATTGTATAAGATTTTCAAGAAATCTTCATGAAATAAAGTTAGATGTTGTCTAACTTATATATATAAATTATCTTTGAGAAAAAGATTTAGGTAAAAAACTATGTGATAACTTACAACGAGAAGAAATTATAAAAATCAATTCTTCGTATTGCAAATGAGATATGTATGTACAAAAATTTTACGTTCAGTCTTGCACATAAGCATAGAGAACTAATAAAGCTTAAATAATTTCAAGAGATAAATAACTTGTTCTTTATGACATAGTTTGGGTGTGGACGTGAGTCAGTGTGGGGTGCATGTCGATTTTGGTATCCTTAGAGTTCTTTTCTTGAATCACATCCACTTCCAGATCTCACACTCCACACCCACACCCATGTAATACTTCCACTCTGATCCACATATATCACAAAAAAGAATAAAAGACGAAGAACGAAAGAGTAAAGAAATACCACGATTATTTATAAAAGAAAATGTGTTTTGTATTCTTTTACACAGCGCTCGCGGATTGGCTGATGCTATTGGTGTGGCAATGACACTTGATAAGAAAAAGAATAAAATGACTGTTTGCTGTGCATTTTTTTCTTCATTTATTTTCATAGTGTTATAATGTGCCTCATTCTTGCTTTTTTATTCGGCCTTTATATCTTCTATCGTTTATATCAGCGTTTCTTTCCGACACCAAATATTAATCCTAATGGTAAATATGTTCTTATTAGTGGTTGTGATACTGGATTTGGTCGTGGATTAGCTATTGAACTTGACAAACAAGGTTTTTATGTTCTTGCTGGTGTTTATATTCCTGATAATGTAATCACTCTCAAAGATAAACTTTCATCAAGAGCTACAGTCTTTCCTCTTGATATTACTAAACAAGAAGATATTGAGGCAGCATTTGAATTAGTCAAAAACAAAACAAAAGTTCTTCATGGACTGGTTAATAATGCTGGTATTGCTATTGTTGGTTATATTGATTGGACATCGATGGAAGCTATGCGTAAAGTGATGGATGTGAATTACTTTGGACATGTTGCGATGACAAAGAAATTTTTACCTTTATTGATCGCGAAACGTGATTCACGTGTTGTTAATATTTGTTCTGCGGCTGGTTATATCACGTCACCAAGTTTATCTGCTTATTGTGCATCAAAATATGCTCTTGAATCGTTTTCTGATTGTCTTCGACGTGAAATGTTTCCATGGGGTTTACGTGTTAGTGTTATTGAACCAGGATTTATGCGAACACCCATTATTGAAGGGCATTATGAATCATTTCCAAATTTTTGGAATCGACTTTCAAGTGATATACAAGAGCGATGGGGAGAAAATTTTCTTAAAACAAAATATGATATTGAAAAAAACAATCCCTTCGTGAAATATGCCGAGGATCCTATGAAAGTCGTTCGAGCTCTTCAACATGCTGTTATGAATACAGTTCCTTGTATTCGCTATCGACCTGGTTTACAATCAAGCATTATCTTTTTTCCATTATCTAGATTACCTGATTGGATTCTTGACCGAATCTTAATGATTGTAGAAAATCTGCATGCTATTCCTGCAAACGTTAGCAAACAACTTACAGACTAAACTGACTTAGTTATCAAATTTAGCAAGCGTTTTTAATTATAAGAGAAGGAACGAATATTTTCTGACTATTTATTACAAAAAAAAAAGATATTGCGAAAATAGAAGATGTTAGATTTATTCAAACAATGAGATTTTATGTGAAGCACAGGTGTGGGTGTGGGTGGCAAGAAGATCTCACCCAGATTCACAATACCCTCTTATAGATTGGGGTAAGAGAAAATAAGCACTACCGTAAAAATACAGTGCTATTCAATGATCTGTCGTAACTGAA